GGCCTGCAGCCGCCATGGATTTTTCTCAGCTGTTGGACTTTTCCTTTGGGCGGCCTAGAACTTGCTATGTAGACCAGGATGGTCTTGAACTCAGAGATCCACCTGCCTCTGTCTCCCAAGTGCTGGGCTTAAAGGTGTGAACCCCTGGCTTCAGTTTGGCTTTGGCCTCTAACATTTGAGCTTGAGAAAGGTTTTTGTGAGGTGTAGTGGCACAGGCCTCTAACCCTAGCAGTCAGGAAGCAGAGGTAGGCATATTACATCAACCTGTCAAGACTAAGGGATGTAGCTGATGGTAAAGTGCTTGTCTAGTGTGTGCGAGGCCCTTGGCTTCATCCCCAGTATCTGGGGAAATGTAAGAGTCCTCCGCTGGGATCTGTGCACGTTACTGAGTGGCTGGGGAAATTGGAGGTCTCTGGACGAGGTGTCCAGGGGAGGGTATCGCTGGCCTGCTTCTGAGCCATCTGCGCCCTGGCTTCCTTTTTCCTTTTGCACTATGAATTGTGTGCCTTCCAATAACTTGTGTTGTACAGATTGATGGGATAAGGAACAGATCATGGGGGACCCTGTAGGCCTTTATCCTACTGGACCCTTTGGCCTTCTGCAAATGATAAGTTACTGGCAGTTATAGGCAAGGCAATGAGGACTGCTCACCCAATGTTGGCCTTTAAACTCCAAGGTGTTCCTGTTTGAGGGCTTGTTGTGGGTTGGTCAGTCTTAGGTACCCACGATTTCTATTCTCCCTTAAATATTAAATGATTATTTTTAAAAGAACTTGTTGTAGTGTTTCTTGTGTGCTGCATTCATTTTTCCATTCCCTCCCAGCTCTCAGAATACTGAGAGTCTCGAGTTCATGTACCTGATTTGGGGGAAGGTAGAAGCAGACATTGCTCACTTTAATCCTCTGAAGATGCTGGGTCCTTTTGCTCTGTGGCATGTGGCTATTGATGGTAGGGGAGTCTTCACCCATATTGGGGGCCAGAGTGTGGCCCAATTGAGGGCTGGCAGCCATGGTGGCCGTGCGGTTCTGCTGAGGATTGTGAAGCTGATGAGGTTGTTGGGACTTACAATCCTAGCATTAAAGTGGGAGCAGGAGGATGAGTTTAAAGCCATTCTTGACCACATAGCAGATTCTGGGCAGCCTGAGTTATTTGAGACCCAGTCTAAAAATACAGGAACACAACCCTGAAGGTACATTGTCTACTGGGGATCTACAGCAGATCCTTGCATGTTGGCTCTTAGCCTTGTGGCATTAAGGAAGTGTTGACAGGTTTCCCTGTGGCTTCTTGGGGATACCCTCTGACAGTAATGAGGTCTTCAAGAGCATTGAGCCATCTGCCCTTGTGACCAGTGCATCTGGCAAGGATTAAGGTGAGGTTCCCACAGTGCTAACCAGCTGTTTTTGAGCACTTAAGTCCCTGGCAGGAGGGTGATCCTAAATGTGAGACTAGTCTAGGCCACACAGTGACACACTGCTTCAGAGTAAAACAACTAAGTCTGATGTGTACATATACCACAGGCCCTGGGATGGGAACCTGTGGAGGCTCAGCCCCAGAGCCCTGCAGCCCAACAAAGTCAGGCCCCATCTGCAGTGAGGTGCGTTTGCACCCATTTCCTCAGTGTAGGAAGTTTAGTGCCTTCAAGCTGTGTGAAATGTCTCCAATGTCAATGTGGAAACATTTCTCTAGTGGATTGTTTGTGGCACTGACTGAATCCTGGGTTGGCAATCCTACAAAAAGCCTGGTGGTTAATATTGGTAAGTTTGTTGACACAGTCTGGTGAGTGGGTGGAGTTGGGTACCTAGAGCTCTTTCTTGCCATGGGTCTCTGCAGAGCTTGCCAACACTCTGGGTGGAAGGGAGATAGCCTGGCATCTGGTTGAAAGGCAGCGGCGATAGGGACAAAGCCAGGTGCTTTTGTAGAAATGAGGGCTATCTCCAGGTGTGGGGCCCTTATATGGCATGGTCTGCCCTCTGCCAGGCTGTTCTTTCTCTAAACCCTCTGCTGCTGGGCGGAAGCTGTGCCAAAGGCTCTGTGGCTGCTAAGCACCAGAAGTGCTCAGTTCCCAAGGGGCTCGACAGTCACTTGATCACGTGTGCCTGGTGTGTGAGAACAGTCCAGTTCCCCTGAATCCTGTGACAATCAGAAGGAAGCCCCAGGAGAGTTCATTGCCTGTGTAGGACAAAAACCTCCACCAGGACCAAGTCTCTTCATGTCCTTTAGTCTTGCTGTTGGTAGACATGGGTGTGCTGCTCATCTGTGAGTGGGACCTACATTCTGGGGGCAAAGTTGTGGGTATGAGAGGTAGTCTGTCCCTGCCAGAGGCCACAGACCTGTGCCGCTGGCTGGATGTTGTGGGTAGATGGCCGGATCCCAGCTTGTACCTTTGCAGAGCAGTTTCTATGAATCCTCATGGCCCGTGAGGTGAGCTTACCCATCTTCCCTGAGTTTACTAGGCTCTTAGACATTCTAAGCTCAGTTCTTCAGTAGGGTGAGAGGCTGTGGAAGTTGGGGAAGTGTGTTGAGGTTCATCGCTGTTGAAGGGACAGTGTCAACTTTCCTGCTTGGGGATGTGGACTGGCGCTGAGGGTACATCAAAAGCTGCCCAGACTTCTCTCCCCAGCCCTGGTGTCTGCTCTCTGTCCTTAGACTGTTTGGATGGCAAATTCCCAGGGTGGACTTGTTCTGGGTAGAGCTGGCAGCAATGGGCTGGGGGTGGGGTAGGCACAGAAGTCATCCTTGGTGACTGCTGATACCAGAGCCATGCCCGTGACCACACCCACCTGTCTGCTCCTGTGATAAGGCTGAGTGGCATTAGACTTACTGAATCTCGGTTCTGACACAGAGGGTGGTTGGCTAGAAACAGAAGCCTAGAAACGGGGTCAGCATCCGCTGTCAGCCCTCACCGTGGAGTCAGCAGCACGGTACTGAGCATCAATGTTACAGCCCTCACGGTCAAGTCAGTGGCAGATGCGGGCAGACCCTTCAAATGAAGCTGAATAGTCAGTTTTTGGTGGGGTTTCTTCCACTTTGTAGGAGATGGCAAGTGACTACAGTCTAGATCCCCAAAACCTGTGATTGATTTGTGGGGTCACAGACTGGGTAGAACCTTGTAATCCAATGGTGGTACACTGTGGGATAATTGGTTTTGTCCCAGGACTAAGACATTCCTGTCTGGACTTGTCTAGGAGTACAAGTCAAAGCCAACACGTCTTGGGAGGGGAAGGGATCTGAACAAGGAAGGTTGGAATTGAGCAATGCAACATAAAGATGGTTTATTATCAAGACAAGTCGCTCTGTCCTGTTTGAGTCCCTAAGGCCCATGCTGACCTAGCATCGCATGTCTTGGGGTCCAAAGGCTATTTGTCAAACTGTCCACAGTAGTATTGTGATCTGGTGTCAGACCTGTTTCCTGTTTCCATGTCAGTTAAGGCTTGCAGCTGTAGCACATTGTGTTTCTGATGTCCAGTCTCCCATCATTTCAGGGCCTACATAGCAGGTGGAAGATCAGCTAACAGGCCTCTCTGGTGTCTAGAAAAATGTGCTGGCCTTGCCTGACTTTCAGGCTTCTAGGAATCTCAGCCTGAAATGCCAGGAGATGCTGCCATCCCACCAAGCCTCCAGCCCATGTCAGTGTACCTACTCGTGTGTACACCTTTTCATGTCATGGTAATGCAGGGGCTACAGGGAGACTTAAGAGTTTCTGGTTGCCCAAGTATTTAGTCAGCTGGTGCAACACTGCCCTCTTGTGATGAGTGTGGGCATTACAAGGACCCTCAGCACAGACCAGTTGCCAGTGTCTTTCACGTGCCTATAAGCTTCCTATTTCCCTTTTCCTTCAGTGCTTTCCTCATCTCTTCTCCCTCTCTACTTGAACAATGATAGGTAGGACGATGTTTGTGTTTTCCAATTTAAATGGAGCTTCAGTGTGGTGGTACACACCTGTCAAGCCAGCAATCGAGAGGCTGAGTCAGGAGGGAGTGAGGTCCAGGCCTGCCTGAGATACATAGCAAGCTGAAGACCAGCCTGCCAGTTTGAAAGGGAGGGCTGGGGATGTAGCTCAGTGGTAGAGCACTTGCCTATCAGACACGAAGCCTTGGGTTCAATCCTCAGCACTAACTGCAAAGAATCACAAAGCTCGACTGTCTGATACTGGATCTTGTCCAGCGGTCCTCATTTTACCCAGAAGTCTCCTCCATAAGCCATTTTGAGGTCTTCTAACAGCCACTCCCTTTCCCTTGACCTCTGTACCCTGTAAGTTGGGAAGGAGCTGTAAGAGTAAACCTCATGGGGGGTGGGGGTGGGCCCTCTCCACAAATGACTCATCGAGACCTATCCCTTCCCAGATTCTATAGCCCCATCCTCAGATTCTCTTGGTCATTCGGGTGTCAGGCTAAACTGAGCTCATGAATCTTCCTGGGAAAATGAGAAGATGGAGAATGGAGAATAGACAGACAGGCAGGCCTGCTGGATGGGTCGGTGGGCTGTCCTGCCTGGGGTGCATAGGGATGGTGCTGCCTGGATGGAGCCACAGATGGCCTCAAGTGAACTCATCGAGAGAGAGGGTAATTTTTGAGTTCTACCAGATGTCTGGTATAAGGATGTTGGAGTTTCTTTTCCTGTTGCTGTGATAAAAACACAAGAATGTAATGGAGAAGGGTTTGTTTTAGCACACAGTTCACGGTGGGGAAGTGAAGGCAGCGGCAGCTTGAGCGAACTGGTTACACCCACAATCAGGAAGCAGAGAATGATGAAAAGTGTGCTGCAGCCCAGTTCCCTGTCTCCACTTTACCAATCCAGGATCCCAGCCAGGGAATGGTGCCACCCACAGAGGGCAAGCCCTCCCACCTCCATAAATATAACCATAATTCTCCCCACAGGCAAGGCTCATCTCCCAAACAATTCTGGATTTTGTCAAGTTGACAGCACCATTACAGCAACAGATTTTTTTTTTTTTAAGAGACAGACATTTACTATGTAATTAAGACTAGCAATCCTCCTGACTCAGCCTCCCAAATAAGTGGTGAATTCTTGTCGATGTTAACTCCATCACCCAATCTGGGTTAGCCACAGGCTGCTGGCTGGTGAGAAATGGAAGGGGCAGTAGGACCGAGAGCCAAGTAGGACACAAGATGGAGGGGAACAGATTTTGAGTGAGTGGAAAGGACAAGAACCAAGGGCTGCATCCAAGGTGTCTGGGAGAGAGGAGATGGCCATGCCCTCCCCATGCATCTACTCCTGCAGGGACTCACTGAGGGTCTCCATTCCCATTTTTGTATGTGTGCTTGCACATACCCGGGTGCACATGTGTGCACATGAATATGGAGACCCAAGGTTGATTGGAGGGGGCATCTTCAAACCTCTGCTTCACTTATTTAGGCAAGGTCTCTCAGTCAAACCCAGAGCTTTCTGATGAGGCTAGTCTAAATAGCCAGCTTGCTCTGGGATTCCTCTGCTTGTGACTTCTGAGACTGGGATTACAGGTGGGCCACCCTGCCCATCCAACACTCATGTGAGTTCTGGTGGGTCTAAACTCTGGTCCTCATATTTGTGAGGCAAATCTTTTTACTTACGGGGCCATCTCCCCAGCCCAGCATGCTGGTTTTGCCTCAGGCATCCAGGGTAGAAGGTTGTGGGATACTGGAGGGAAAGATGGAAGCCTAGAGAAATGGGGGAAGGGGCCTTGAGCAAATTGAGGAAAGCTACTAGGAGGTGGCCAGAGGATATCTGCAGCCTATGGGGCACAGATGATCCAGACTGCAGGCCCAAGGCAGGTAGGGAAGAAAGGATAAGGCTCTCTTAGTATTACACATAGTGATGGAGCACACGTGTCCCTAGGGAAAGGGGCAGCAGGTGTGAACCTGGATGTGGGCTTGGGGGGTTAGACATGTGAGGGTGTGGGTAACAGGTTTCCCCAAAGAGGTAGAAGCTGGGGCTGAGGGGAAGGGGCAAGGGAAGAAGTGGCTGGTGGACTGTGGCATCTGCAGTCAGAGGAGGCTGAACCTGGAGATAGGTGGGCATGCGTTCCACCCCTCCCCAAGAAGATACCAACCAACTCATGCTGGGACCCCGACATACACAGGTGCCGTCCATCAGCCATGGACAGACAGAGGAGGTGGAGGATGTTATCACTGGCTCACCCCATCCCCCTGTGGGATGGGTATGCAGGGGCACACATACACACTGATGTTGCTTCATTGCTGTTTATAGTGCAGATCACAGGCGGTGGTGGTAGAAGAGCTCCTGGTGGCACACGGGACAGGAGTGTTGCACATCCATGAAACTCCGCACACAGAATGGGAGGAAGCAGCAGCCCAGGAAGCACCTGCAGCCTCAGAAGCAGTGTGTGCCCACCTGAGCAGATTGCCTGAGCTGGCCTGTACCCTCATCACCCCTGAGCAGTCCTTGTGCTGGCCTGCACCCTCATCACACCTCTGGGTGGATCTCAGTTCCTTGGGGTGGTTCTGCAGAGCAGGGCTGAGAGCCAAGCTTTCTTGACAGCAGTGGTGATGGCAACCTCTGACCACTTGCCCAGCAGGCAGGCATTGTCCATCCCCACTCCCATCCTCTGCCATTCAAGCAGGCTATCTCCTTCTGACCCATGCTGGGACCTCCCTCTGTCCTTAGTTCTCTAGCTGTCTCCAGCTGCATCTCAGTCCCATCCCCTCCCTACCAGGTCCCCTCTGCTTACCCAAATACAAAGAGGCCACTGCATAGCAGCCAGGTGAGCAAGCCTGGGACAGGAGTTGTCACTGTGATGATGCGGTTCCCACAGTAGGGACATATGGTCTGCATTGGCATGGAAGTTGTCATCCTCGGCAAGCCAGTGAACAAGTCTTGAGGGTAGGGGAGGGAGATGGGTCAGATCAGAGCCTCTTCCTCCTGTCTCCAGCACCCCCTGTCTGGACACCCCTCTTATATCATGACTCATCTTCCTTGTGCTAACCTACGCACCCAAAGCCACCATGTACCTGCCCATCAGCCATATGATCAGTCCTAGGAACTGTGGATTAAGTCTTGAGAATATGCGATTAACAGGAATAGAGCGTGGGCCTCCTCAAGCATTGGCAGTGGATGGTCTTCTAAGCATGGTCCCTCCCGCTTGGGGAGTTCCTAGCATAACCTACCAGATTCAGCCAGCCCATTGTCTTTCCTTCCTTGAACCTGAGTCCTCTGGAAGGGCAGCCAATGCTCTTAATTGCTGAGCCATCTCTGCAGCCCCTCTCTAGCTCTTGTACACCAGGCCTACATGCAGGCAAAACACTCATACACATAAAATAAAATAAATCTTTAAATCTTTAAAAAAAAAAAACAAAACAGTAAAAATAATTCTACAAGGAGCTGGGTATGTAACCCAGTGGTGGAGCACTTGCCTAGCATGTCCCTTAACCACTACCGTAATAACAAGACAACAAAATGAAGTGCAAACCAGTATCAGAAACTTACTGCATGCTTTGGTGATCTGAATGGGCTCCCGGGGTCAGGTTTGGATGACCTCAGGTTTGTTATAGCATGGTGAAGCTGACTGGTACAGTCTAATGTGTCAATCTTGAGTGCCTGGGATTTCCTTGGGACACTAGCATCTCAAAGCCCTGGTTCAACTTAGGGACTCGGAAGTCACCCCATCTGTGGACTAGCACTTACAATATGATTCATTTCATAAATATAACATGAGCACCTACCCATCCCCAAGAATTTCACAATAGAAAAGGATGCCTCAGAAGCCCTTGGCAATGCACCAACCCCATGTGAATAGTGTGAGGCCCAGCCAGCTTTGGGGCTTCAGGGTTCTCGGCTGTGGGAGGAGGGCTCACCAGAGAAGCTGCCATCTGTACTGAGCTTAGTAAGTGGCCTTCTGGGAGCAGGAGCCCAAGCCAAGGAGGAGAGACAGCTGCTACACTTACTGGTCTGGACCACTGGTGGCACTTGGATGTACACAGGGTATACGTGGGATAACCTCTCTCCTCTTGTCTGAGGGGGGGGATAAGGAGGTGGATTCTTAGAATACCGAGAGTCTGAAAGAGAAGAAGCAAGGCCCCAGGGCTCAGATGTGCCAGCATGGAGACACCACATGGCCGCCACTGCTGCCAAGAGCACAGTTGCCCACAGTTATACAGACAAGGTGTGTGTGTGTGATTTGAACTTAGACACTTCTGACTCCACATATGCCCTCCTTGTCCATAGGAGAAGTGCTAGAGGTCTGGGATGTGACATAGCTCAGGGACATTTACTATTGGCCACGCCAAACAGGTAACATGTTTCATCATATTCCCTTTCACCAATGAGGCATCATTCAGATTTTGCAGGTGGGAGAGATGAGGTTCAGAAAGGTTCAATACCTTGCCTGAGGTGACTCAGTAAGTTATCATTGGAGACCAGGTAGGTTTCTGATCAGATGCAAGGGAACTAACCTTAGCAGGGGCTCTGAAGTCAGGATATTTGAGCTCCATCCGATGCTTTTTGTGGCAGGGACTAAGTTGAGTTAAGGTCTGTGTTTCCCAGGCTCACTGGGAACATCTGACCCTTCTGCCTCTACCTATTATAGGCCTGCACCTCCATGTCCAGTTTATACAGTACTGAAGATCAAACCCAGGCCCAGGGCTTCTTGCATGCTAAGCAAGCACTCTACCAATTGAGTTCATCTTTTTTTTTTTTTTTTTTTTTTTTTTTGAGTTTAGATCTCATTCAGGCTGGCCTGGAGCTTGTAGCAATCCACCTGGCTCAGTGCTCCAGGTATGTTATCACACCCAGAATGAGCCGCCATGACTTAATATGTACAGATGGGCAGTAAGGTCCTCACTGAATTTTTATGTACAACCTTGCAGGTGCCTGCTGGGGCCCTGGGCTCCATCACCAATGGCCTGGCCCCTTCACGAAAAGAGCTAGTAGCTGGAGGTGGATCTCTGTGGCCACTCTGCTCAGAGCTTCCCCTCAGAGCCTCCTTCCGTAGCTTCCTTTCACAGGTTCCTTTACTGTCTCCTCCCAGACTAGGACTAAGGAGAGCAGGTAGCCCTTGACCATGTGGCCCTACTGTCTCCACTTTGGGGACAAGAGATGTCTCAGCTTTGTTGGCCCAGAAGCTCTGTCTGGAGCTAGTTGTCAGGCTTTTTTTTTTTTTTTTTTTTTTTTTTTTTTTTTTTTTTTTTTTTTTTCCAGAAGAGAAACCAAAGGTCAGAAATGAAGCCCATGACCAGTACCAACTAGAGTCTCAAGCCAGGTCAGTGCCCAGCTGAATAAACCCTGGATCCTTATTTTATTTTGTTTTATGTAGGATAGGGTCTCTCTATGCAGTCCTGTAGCTCAGTATGTAGACTGGAGATCCTCCTGCCTCTGCCTCCTTCGTGCTGTGTTGAAAGGTGTGCACCAATACACCCTGGATCCTCTTGACCATTTACATGGAGTTGGTAGGAATTCCAATGAGAAAACTGTTCAGATGGGGTCAGACACCATCCCAGGCCATCTCAGCACATGGGCAGCTCCACACCCTGGCCCCTACCCTGGCTATGCCACCCACAGGCTTTATTGATGTGGGAGCCATTAGTATCCCTTGGTAGATTCCATGTGATGCTTCATGGGGGAGGGAGGGAGGAAGGGAGGGAGAGAGAGAGAGAGGGGTGCTGGAGGTCTAACCCAACAACTATCCCTACTGCGTCACCTGGGTAGTACAGGTCAGTGAGACTTAGGGGAGTAGATGGGATCAGCTACCAGATCAGCAAATAGTCTCTCCCTTCTCTTGCTCCCCAAGCCGTTTTCTAGCTCCCAAGTGAGGTCCCTCACCATGGGCATGGTCCCATTTTGGTGCCATGATAGTCCTGTTTTAGAAGTACTCCTCAAGGAGCGTCCTTGGGTACCAGGTTCTGAGTGGACAGGCTCTTGGTTCCAGAAGTTCCCTTGGAGAGGTGTCACTGGGGAGAAGTAGGCCTCTTACAGCTGCCACAGCCATTGTGATGTTTTTGATGCATAGGCCAGGGGATTTTGTCTCTATTACCTACCTGCTGGAGAGGGTGCCTGCTCATGGCTCAGCTTAAAGGAACCTTCCATACTCCCCACAGCAGGTTGAAGCTTTGTGAGCTGGATCAGGAAATCAACTAAGACCCTGAGTCCTGTGAGTTCTGGTAGAGGGCATCCAATACCATCAGTGTCCTTTCTATTAGAATGCAGGTAAACATGGAACTGGGCCTAGTATCACAGGCCTGTGAGCCCAGCACTTAGGAGACTGAGGCAGGAAGATGGAAAATTCAAAGACATTCTGGGGGTATGTATTGAGTTCTTGTCACAAAAAAAAAAAAGAAAGGAAAAGGTGGGGAAAAGGGGCTACATGTTGTCACCAATACATACATACATACACCTATAAGCCCAGTGCTCAAGAGGTAGAGACAGTAAATACGAGTTCAAAGCCAAGCTCGGTTGGGTTTATGTAGTGGGTTCAGGCCAGCCTGGGCTACATAGAAAAATTCTGTCTCAAAACAACAACAACAAAAACCAAACCAAAAACCAGGTGTAAAACAGTGGCTCAGTTTGCAGAGTGCTTGCCAAGCATGCACACAATCCAGGTTCAATCCTCAGCACTGTATAAGCTGTATGTGGTAACATGTATCTATAAACCACCACCAGAGAGGCGGAGGCAGGGGGTCAGGGGTCCAAGGTCATCTTCAACTACATAGTGAGTTCAAGGCCAGTCTGGGATACAGGACACTGTATGGTCACAGTGTCCACAAATACACACATGCAAACCTGCATGTGTCTTCCCTGAACCCAGTCAACCTCTCCTGCTGATTTAGCTCCAGGAACTCAGGGAAAGTCTACCTCTCTTTACCTCTGTCCCTTACCTTGCATCTGTAGAAAGGATAAAATAATAGCAACCTTGTAAGGGTTTTGTTTGTTTGTGAGACAGGGCCTTGAACTTGCTATATAGCCTAGGTTGGCCAAGAACTCAATCTTCCTGTCCCAGTTCCTAAGTGCAGAATTACTGTTGGGAAGCCCTTCTCCCCAGTAATTCTAGGTGATGATGTCAAGGTGGTGCCACACCCAGCCTTCTCAGTGCCGTGGATCCACCCCAGGGCTTTGTGCATGCTAGGCAAGCACTCTACCCACTGAGCCACATCTCCAGCATGGATAGTTGACCCATGTCTGGCTATCTTTTGCTATAAGGGACTTCAGCATCAGCATCCAAAAATTTGGAGGGGGGGTGTCGTGGAACTAGTCCTATCAGGTGCTTGGAGACAGCCGAACAACCAAGTGCTGATGAGGGTGGAACTGAGGTGGTAGGTGTGTGAACTACTCCTGAACATTTATTTCAATATCTCTGTACATCTGAGTATTTCAAATTTAAAGTTCATGCACAAGGTAAATGGGCATTTGAAGTTCATGCTCTTGTTAGACAAGGCTCAAACATGTTAAGTTGTTGAAAATGGCAATGAGCTGTTGATCCTCCTGCCTCCACCTCTGGAGTGCTGGGATCATGGGTGTAGACCACCACAACTGGTTTTGTGTAACCCTGAGAATGGAACCCAGGGTCCTGTGCACACTGGGTGTCTCAGCTCTACTTATGTAGCTGTGATTAAACACCCTGAGGAAAGCCATTGAAAGGAGAAAGGCTCTGTGTTAGCTCACAGTTCAAGGGATAGTCCATCGTGGCAGAGAAATCAAGGTGGCTTGAAGCAGCAGGTCACATCAAGTCCCCAAAGAGAAACAGAGAGTCATGCCTGCACCTTGATGCTCAAGTCTCTTATGTCTACAGTCCAGGACCCTGCCAGGGAATGGTGCCACCCACTGTGGGCCAGTCTTTCCACCCCTACCAAGGAAATCAAGAGACTCCCCCACAGGCATGCCCAGAGACCTTTCTACTGGAAGATTCTAGATCATGTCACATTGACAATGCTAACCATCACACTAGGCAAGCCCTCTGCCAAATGAGCTACACCTCCAGGCCCAAGTCTCTGAGTATTTTATGACAATAAAAAATTAAAACTTCAACTGGGCGGTGGTGGCACATGCCTTTAATCCCAGCACTCGAGAGGCAGAGGCACGCAGATCTCTAAGAGTTCTAGGCCACCCTGGTCTTCAAAGAGGACAGTCTCCAAACCTACAGAGAACCCTGTCTTGGAAACCCCCCTCCCCCAAAAATTAAAAATTTAAACAAATAAATGATAAAAACAACTCCTAACAATGGGAACAACAGCAAATAAAACAAGTAGGATGCCAAGTTTATATTACCTTTTCATTTGTTTGTTTTGTTTTAAACAAAGTCTTATTGTGGAGCCCAGGATCCCTCAAATTTTTGGCAATCCTCCTGTCTCAGCTTTGGAGTGCTGAATTACATTTTTTACTCTATCACATGATTGGTTGGGTCAAGATTGAGTGCTGTCCCAGGTTAGGTCAACCTAAACTTGTTTTTGTGGGGCTTTGGGGATAAGTTGGGGAGAGCATTTGGTTTCTGCTCTGTTAACTTGTGCATGTAAGCCTAGTGGGTGAAGGATGACTGGTTGATGTAAGTCGAATGTGAATGAATGAATGAATGAATGAATGAGATGCATGCTCCACTCATCACAGTACCCCCATCTAGGGTTCTTGTATCTGTTGGAATGTCACCTCTTGGGGTAGACTTAGGGGCTTCCTTCTCTAAGGATATTGTTTTTGACTCGGAGTCTCGTAGATCTCAGCCTGGCCTCAAACTCACTGTGTAGCCAAGGATGCCCTTGAAGTTTTGGTCCTCCTGCCTCCACCCTTCTGAGTGCAAAGAGTGTCACCACTCGTGGTTTTGTGCAGTGTTGTGCCGTGCTGGGGATGTAACCTAGGGCATCATGAATGCTATGTGAGCACACTACTGACAGAGTTACATCCCTAGCACAAAGATTTTAAGGGCCTCGTTCCTTCTAACACAGTTTTGAGTCTCGTAAGAGGAGTAAGAACTGGGAAGTCTTAAGTGTGAAGGGAGGGAAGAAGGCAACAAGATGATGAGCCCTAACAATTCTAACCCTCACCACCAGGAGGAAGCACCAGCTTGCCACAAATCAACCTAGGGCTCCCAACTGTGGTGGTAACTCCCTCATCTAGAAACTCCTAGGCCAGGGCTGGGAGAAATAAGGAGTCATAAGAGGGGACCAGAAGCCAGCCCAGCATCACGAGCTGGATCTCAGGTGAGAGCTTGCACAGGCTTGGCTAGGCTCTTCAGAACTCCTCTTGAGGATATCTGGGGCCCAGACCTTCTGGATGACTGGTTTGTTGTTTTGTTTTTAGACAGGTTTCAACTAGTTCCTACTGGCTTCAAGTTTGCTTTGCAGCTGAGAATGACCTTGAATTCATGATGCTGCTGTATCTACCTCCCAAGTGCTGAGATTACAAGGGGCCATATCAATCATACATTCTAGCTAAGTACTCTACTACTGAGCAACATTTCCAGCTCCTGTTGTTTAAATCTCTTCTCTCCCAAAATAAGGTAGGGTCAGGCCTAGAGGGAGAAGGTGGTAAAAGTGCCATTGTGACCCCTGCTGAGTATCTTAATTTCTGAGCCTCAGTTTTATCCCCTGAAAAATGGGTTTGGTAACACATCCTGCCAGGAGTAGCATGAAAATGTAATGGCCCTCATATTTGCTTTTGGCTGGATATGTTGTCATGTGTATGTGTTTATACTGTGTGTGTGCCTTTTAACCTGTGTGTGTTCACCTATAAGCGCATATTTTCCTGTTGAGACCCAAGGTTGACATTAGGAGTCTTGGTTGATCCCTCTGGATTTTATTCACTGATGTCAGGTCTCTCTGATGGACTATTAACCCACTAATAAGGGTAGTCCAGCTAGTCATCTCCTGAAACCCATCTTCTCCTGAGTGCTGGAATTATACGCAGGCTGTCATGCCACACTGGCATTTACATGGTGTCTTAGTTGCCTTTCTATTGCCATGACAAAATACCATGACCAAAGCAATTTTTTTTTGTTTGTTTGAGACAGATTTTTGTATAGCCCTGGCTCCTGTAGACCAGGCTGGTCTTAAACTCACAGAGATCCACCTGCCTCTACCCTCTAGGTGCTGGGATTAAAGGTGTAGGCCAGCATTGCTTGGCTCCAAAGCAACGTTTTTTCTTTTCTTTTTTTTTTTTAATTTCTTGTGCATTGGTGTTTTATCTGCATGTATGTCTGTATGACAGCATCGGATCTCCTGGAACTGGAGTTACAGATAGTGTAAGCTGCCATGTGGGTGCTGGGAATTGAACCTGGGTCCTTTGGAAGAGCAGTCAGTGCTCTTAACCACTGGGCCATCACTCCACCCCCCAAAACAACTTTTTAAAAAAAATGTTTCAGGATGGGGAGATGGCTCAGAGGTTAAGAGCACTGTCTGTTCTTCCAGAGGTCCTGAGTTCAATTCCCAGCAACCACATGGTGGCTCACAACCATCTATAATGAGATCTGGTGCTCTCTTCTGGTGTGCAAGCATGTGTGCAGTAATTGTATATATAATAAATAAATAAAAACTTTGAAAAAAAAAGAAAAGAAGAAAATGTTTCAATTGAGGCTCATGGTTCCAGAGGGGTAGAGTCCATGACCATCAAGGTGGGGAGCATGGCAGCAGGCAGGCACATGGTGCTGAAGCAGTGGCTGAGAGCTCACATCTTGATCCACAGCACAAGGCAGAGAGAGAAATGACTGGGAATGGTGTGGGCTTTTGAAACCTCAAACCCTGCTCTCAGTGACACATCTCCTCCAATAAGCCCACAGCTTCTACCCCTTTCCAAACAATGCCACCACCTAGGGACCAAGTATTCAAACATAATTGTGTGCCATTCTTGTTCAAGCCACCACCTGGCTTCTGGGGATTTGAACTCTGGTTCTTGCTCTTGCTGCTTATGTGGCGAGTGCTTTAATCACTGAGCCATCTCTCTAGGCTTTGCTGTTTTTATTAACATATGTTAATTGTATAAACTAATGACCCCTACATGATGTATATAATGAACTTGGAGGATATCCATCCTCCCAGTATCTTCTTTTATTTATCCTCCTGTTGTTCCCCCTTTTATATTATGCATACATATGTATGCACACATAG